GGGCCCATGGCTTCAACCTTAGAATTATATACTGCGCTATATGATATTCAGTTGTGTTATACTGTATCATACTGTAGTGTATTCTATCGCAGCTTCAGTGAAATTCCATTCTACTCGGTGATTTTTGTATCATTTCATCTGGCCAGATGCTGCGCCACATTCGCGACTTCCTTGGCATCACCTTCCAGATCCGGGAGGCCGCCTGGGGTATCACGATGGATTTGTGGCCGGTTTTTCGACATTCTGCTAGTAAAAACCGTGCAGGAGGTTCAGACTAGAGTATTCCCTAAAAATCTGTTCTATGCGTTTAAGTGCGACGTTCTGTTTTTGGTTGTGCTGGTGCTGACGGTGGGGTGGTTGGGATAGGTTCTAAGTCTAGGGATTCCAATAAAGAATCGGGGGTTGGGGCGTATTTTACTATAGTTATGATAAAAATAAGGAGATGCAGGATAGTACTGGTAATTATCTAGGCCCCGACATTAGTGCAAGTTCCCTCAGGCCATACCTCGCCCATAAATTTGGCTCTACCTCTGCCACTGCAGAGATCGTAAATCCTTGAACCTTCAACTTTTCTGTGCATCTACTCTCGTGTCCCACCGAATTCAGAAGTCCTTGGCCAAGTACTGGTATGGGTAGTTGTCAAAATTATGATCCCTTTTGGGGTACCCTAAGTAATGGATGCCGTATTATAATAAGGACCCAAAAAGGTAGCATAATTTTGACAACCACCCGTATAGAAACAAAAAAACAGACAAATATCAAGGCCATACGGTTGATGATATATATCCGCATTACCCAGAATATTGAATCGACCATAATTCCCATAGTTTAGGGTCCGTAAGGTATTGCAGGATTTATATCACCAAGGCCTTATGAACCTCCGCAATGAGCCAGTGTGATGCCTTGCCAAGGATCATGGGGACTCGGAGACTGTGGTGCTATCGTGCATCGGCACCTTTGCTCTGGATTTGTCTCCGGGATTTTTGCATTTTCTGGTTTGTCTAGGGCTTAGAGCTTAAGCCCTAAACCCTAAACCCTAAACCTGAAGACTGTTCGGGGTTTCGGATTCAGGGACTTGGCTTGGGCCTCTCTTGGGTTCGGTCTCCTAGGTGCTCCTGAGATGCTATACAGGACATGTAGGAAACAAGTCGCCCTTTCCCGGATACCCCTGTTAGTGTCATATCTTTGAACTCTGACAGAGACAGTGTGGAACCCTTGTTGAAACTGAAACACTGTTATAGAACCGTAACCTACCTTCTGCCCCAGGGATAATTTACATATACATTATATATATATATATATATAGAGCAACATGAATATTCAGTCCGTGTATTCTCTACGGCTCTTCATGTACATGAGTATAGCATGGTAATGATCAACACCCCATTATACTAATTAAGGATTTTTTCATATGCCAGCGGCCCCGTCTCCAAAATGGTTGCACTTTACTTGAAAAGCTCATATGGGGCTTGGTAACTCGGGTTATACATACGGTGACTGTACTCATAGTTACTTCCACCCCCAAACGGATCCCTAGATATAATGTAAGTAAACGCATAGCTCTAAGATGTTGCATCAGAGCTGGGGAAGTCGCTAATGCTGCTTTTGGCCGCTTCACCAACAGTCCAATGGTCAATTAGAGTTCAGCCGCACGATGTCGAGATATGGCGCCCGCGCATCTTCTCTCTTCAACCATAAATCCACAAGGCCAAAGAATGTAACATGTAGCAATATCCCCTATACTCCCTGTCTAACCCTAAACCCAAAACCCTCAACACCTAA